AAAAAAAAAAAAAAAAACGATCGGTACGAGGGACGAACCTCAACCGTAGGATTGCCACGGCTGTCGAAGATCTGACGGGCGTGGACGCTCTTGATGGTCGCCATTTCTTGCAGAGAGAGTTTAGATCTGAGAGAGAGGGAGCGGCTTCGAAGGTGAGTTTTAGAGTGAGAGAATAAACAGTGAGCAGAAATGATGAGAGGTTGGGTATTTATAGACTGGTCAAGGCTTAATTAGGGCCGTTGATTTAGTTGCGATTAAGAGGTTGTTTGGGCAACAAGAAAAATGGTTCGACTACTTTCTGTGTTTTAGATGTGAAAATCTGAAAAACAGTGTGCGCTAATAAAGTTGGATTTTTTCCATCGGGAATTATAACCGTTAGATTATCATATAAACATTATGGATAGTGATCTAACAGTTACAATTCTCAACGAAATAGTTCTGTAACAAGACCGTAGCATCTCCCCTTAAATATGACCTCAATATTAATGAATTAATTATTTTTTAACTTTAATGAACTTTAATTATTTTTCAATAATATAAGTTAGTTTATAACTTTAATTAGTCATTATTTTTCCTTTATATATTCAAATAAACTTGGGCAGAACTAGTAACAGATGTCCAATGTGTCCAATATTGTGTATTTATTGCAGAACACGTGTCAATACATCATTTATAAATAACTATAGATATCTTCATACATCCGATGACTCTATAGTAAAATCGGAGCCCGTAAACCTCAACACGCAAGTTTTTCAATTTTCCAATAAGCTTGTCATAAAATAAAAAATAGCATATTCGATAATAGATCCGAATATGCTTTATTCCTATTTATCAACTATTAGGAAGCCAATACAAGAAAATTGTATTTAAGAAAACGAAAAAATTGTCATTAGAAAATCAACTAGTAGGAAGCCAATAAAAAATTAATGTATTTAAGAACAAAACATCCATTAGAAAATCAGCTGGAAACTAGTGGCGTCATGACTCATGCGGGCCGAAACTGAGAGCCCGTGGGCCGTGGTGTTGCATGTCACGGGCGATAATGATGGATGAAAGAAATTTGATGCCAAAATTTGAAAAAAGGAAGTTAATCAAAATTTGAAAATTCAAAGGTTCTGAAAATAGGATTACACATTAAGCAAATAAGTTGTTTTTTTTTTAACTAGTACAACACCCGTGTATTACACGGGTGCTTGTTAACAATTATTCTGAAATTTTAAAATTAATGAGAAAACTATATTAAATTTAGTTTACTTTTTTTACAAAAAAAAAAAAATTAAAATATTATTATATATTTTAGAATGATATGTACTTATGACTTACATGTGTTATATTATATTAGTTTTTATAACTTATATTATATAACTACCTGAAATATAAATATATTAGTTGATAAATAATTTTATTTTTCTAATTAATATTAAAAATAATTTTATTATTGTTATAAAGATAAATATAAATTATTATTTTTATACATACAATATGGATGTTAAATCGAAGTTCATCAAAAGAAGACTAATTTGATATATTAAATAGGTAAAACTGATAAAAAATACAATAGTTATTAACTTTTAAAATATATACATACAATTCAATGGTTATAAATTTATAATAAGGAATTATGCTAAAATACAATTAATACATGTAACATGACCATAAATAATCAACATATTTATGGTAATCTGAACCTAATTATGTTTTATTTGGAATTAAATTAAAATTTGCCCAAACCTAATAACGAAGTATGTAATTTTGCCACATAGGATTATGAAACACCAGAAACAGCCACGTAAGCTCAACGTGTTCTGTATTAATATATAGGGGATTATATTTTTAGTTAGCCTGAGTTAATTTTAACAAAAAGTTGGTTGAACTATTTTTGAATGAGATGAGATTTGAGTTTTTATTATAACAAGATCTAAAATATAATGATTAAAGTTGATTCGATGTAAAAGTATGAGAGATGTGATTCGATGTCATGAATAGTTAAAATTATGTAGGTGAATGAATTGTGAAATAAAACTGATGTGGTATGTGAAAAATGATTGATTGATATTATTTAATTATATTGATAATACTAGAACAATTTAGATCAATGTATGATTTGTCTAATTTTGATTGATTGATTGATTGAAAAGTAAAGATCAATGTATGATTTATCTAATTTTGACACACTTGTATCACTCGAGACATGATAGGAAATATTAAGCAAGACATCAGCACGGCAGCAAAAGTGATTTTAAGCAAGAAATCACTTTTTTACTTTTGTTTATAAATTAATTCGCTCAAAATGATTTTTTTTTTTT